CTTAAACACGGAATCTGACTTCACGACTTCTGTTTAATATTAAATGACCATAGCCAATGCAATAAGGCATGAAAATGAACGGGGATTACAATAGAGATCGTTTTAATTGATTAATTCTACTTACTTAAAGGGATTAAAATAGAAAATGGATGACAATAGAACGAACAAAATTGTTTAGGCTTACAGACATTGCCTGGGTGGCAGGAAGATGCCCGGGTGGGGGTGTGCTTGGAAAAAAAAAATGGAAGTTTAGTGTCACTAAGAGTAAGGGAGCGTTGAGAATGGAGTAATCATAGTCCCATGGTGGCCTCCATCCACTCAGTCCAGGCACCACGCTGAGTGTTTGAGAGCATTATTGGATTCGTTGGTTTTTGGCTTTTTTGTTTGTTTTGCTTTGTTTTTTTGAGACAGGGTTTCTCTGTGTAGCTTTGGAGCCTATCCTGGAACTCCCTCTGGAGACCAGGCTGGCCTCCAACTCACTGAGGTCTGCCTGCCTCAGCCTCCCGAGTGCTGGGATTCAAGGCGTGTGCCACCAACACCCAGCTGCATTATTGAATTCTTACAACAACCATGACGCACACATACACACCCTCCAGGGAACTAATGCTTAGGAAATCTGAGGTCATGGCTCAGCACACTTTGAAGCCAGGCTGGTCTCATCCGAAAGAGCTCATCCATGGGTGCAAACCACTCTGTGACCAGTCTCAAGTGTGGGGCAGACCCAGGCTGGCAGTAGGAAGGTAAGAGAGGAGGCTGGTTGGGTATCCCAGTGGTAAGGTGCTTGCCTAGCTTGCAGGAGGCCCTGGGTTCAAGCCCCAAACCATAAAACAAATAACAGGAGTAACTTAGAGGGAACCAGAGAGATGGTCCATCGGTTAAGAATACAGGCTGCTCTGTTCTGTTCTTAGCACCCACATGGCGGCTCAAAACCATTCAGTTTCAGGGGATCCAGTGCCCTTTTGTGAACTCCAAAGGCACTGCAAACTGCAAGTATGTGGTGCATTTTATAGACATGCAGGCAAAATACTCATACACACTAAATTAGTATCATTCCAATTTAGAGTTTATTGTATTTTTATGTGTACAACTGTTTTTGCCTGTTTGTGTGTATGTACGCCATGTACATGCCTGATGCTTGCAGGGGTCAGAAGGTGCTGGATTCCCTGGAGCTGAGCTGCCCTCTGGGTGCTGGGAACCAAACCTGAGTCTTCTGCAAGAGCAACAAATGTTCTTAAAAGATTTATTTATTATGTATAGTGTTTTATCTGCACATATGCCTGTAGGCCAGGAGAGGGTATCAGATCCTATTATAGATGACTGTGAGCCACCATGTGGTTGCTGGGAATTGAACTCATGACCTCTGGAAGAGCAGCCAGTGCTCTTAACCTCTGAGTCATCTATCTCTGCAGCCCCTAAATATTTTAAAAATCTTGAAAAGCCTGGAAAGACAGCCCTATAGCTAAAAGGACATAGGGATAAGAGTTCAGTTGTCAACACCGACACGAGGCAGCCCACAACTGCTTAACTTCAGTTAAGCGCAGTGCCCTCTTCTAGCAGTGTGCTCGCAACAGATGCACACACACAACCACACACACACACACACACACACGCAGAGTTAAACAGATAAAAATGAAAGCTCGGCAAAAGAAGAAGCGAGACTGCTCAGGGCATTTCAGGAAGAACCCTTGAAGCTCTCAAGACTGGAAACGCGTTGGCGCAACACCTAGGGGTTAATTTTGCCTGGCTCTGGGGCCTGAGGTCGAAGCAGAGTGGAGACTGAGTGTACACTGCGGGCAGGGTGGGGAGCCACACCTCAGTGTCCTGTCTGCCAATAGGGAGCCACGGCAGGCTCTTAGCACAGGAGGGATGGATGGAACTGGCTATGTGTTTTAGCCAGCCCTGCTTCATCATTTCCTTTTCGTCTC